GATGAAAGTACAACCAAGCAAGTTTCGTTCTCTGGGTGTCACCCAGGAGCTGTCCTTGGTGAAGGTCATGTCCTCCGCTGGACTAAGCAGCCAAGTAGAGCACCCCAGAGGGGTGGCGACCCGGGCCATGCCCAGGGCTCCCGCCCACACGGGCCCTCCAGTCACTCCCGAATGGGAGACCTTCCCGGGCTGATGTCCTGAGGGCCCACACGCCAGGGAGGGTCAGGCTCCTGCGCACCCCGGCCCGCTCTCTGCGCAGGGCGCGCCCCACCTGCGACGCCTGGTCACCTCCACCCACAGGTGTGTGGGGAGAGCGCTGCCCGGGGGCCCCGCGCTCAGCCCCTGCCCTGCCGCGTGGACTCCTGGCGGACTTGGCTGCCGTGGCAGCCGGACCTCATCTGCACAGCTGGAGGACACGCGTGCCCTTTCCATAGAGAAATTGGGGGGTGACGTTACAGGCAAGTGAGGGGCTCAGACTGCTGTCCAGAAGACGGTGAGCACGCCACACATGCTCATAATCTTACTGTTACTGTTACACCCCGTAACGACACCCTCCGTCGAGTCCCAGGGCTGACGTAAGCAAGAACGGGAGTTTACAGTGTGTTGAAGTCAGAGCCACCCCCAGGAGGCCGTGGCACTCGGTGCCTCCAGGCGGGGGGCCAGGCGGGAGCTGCCTTCTGCCCACGGGGCAAGACCTCGCCCTCCCCAGGCTCAGCCCAGACGATTCCTGAGCAGAAGGCTGGACACAGGCCGGACCCGCCAGACCGGGTTTGTCCCGCTCTGCGTGTTGTGGTGACGGCTCTCCCCACCCCCACCCCGGGCGCCCCGTTCCAGCGAGCTCCGCAGGTGTGGGAGCCCGCTGGAGTAGCAGCATCCTGCCCGCCCGCAGGCCCCCCGGAGACGAACAGCAGCCCCCCCACACACACACACAGGCCCGGCACTCGCGTTCGGAGGCAGGCAGGCCAGCTGGAGCCCGGAATTCCCAGGTATCCAAACTCACGTCTTGGCAGAGAACCTGAGGGACTCGGTGTGTGGTGGGGTGTATCTTAGCCTGATCCCTAGTAGCAGCGGTGTCTTCCGGCCCAGGACACACCTGTCTGTCTCCACTTCGCCTCCTGGACGCCCCCGGCTGCAGCTCCTCTCCAGGCCGCTTGCTGAGGGTCCCCCTTGGGGGGGAGCACCTGCTTCCTGTACCTTCGCTCACAGCCCTGGTTTTTTTTTTTTTGTTGTTGTTGTTTTTTTTATTACAATTCACATTTTTTTCCCTTACCACTGAGGCAGAATAAATTGAGTGTGACTAGTGATTTGCAATACAGTTTTCACTGTTACAGCGGACAGCGTCAAGGTGCAAAGTGTATACCCAGCCCCAACACTGGCCGATCAGCCGGGGCAGTGGCCACCGGCCTCCTGGCCAGTCTTTGCTACACCAGGGTGCAGCCTGACTGCCTGACAGTGGGAGTCCAGTTCCCGGTACTGGAATATTACATTATGGGGGGACTGCGGCCCAATCCCCTGACTGATTTGAAACGAATTTGAATCAAGACAGCTTAAAAATAGCTTTTACAGCATCACTGTGACACGATACCGTGGGGAAGCGAGGGGCCGAGGCCACGGGAGCCGTGCTCCGGGCCGGGAGCGGTCTGCGCTGGGAACTCTTCTCCTGCTGCCTGTTTGTTTGCTGTGTGACTTTGCCTTAGTTTCTTGACTTCTCTGGTCTCGTTTTTCTGTAACTTGGAGATGATTCATGTCCTTAGACTGTAGGCCGGGGGAGGGGAGCCCAGGGGCTGAGTGACTGGATCAAGAGCCCCTGTGTCCCGCCTCTCTCCTCTGCAAGCCCGTCCCCATCAAGCCGGACTCAGGCAGGCTACAGCGTAACCAGGATCAGGTCTCCTTACGTTTCCAGGGGCTGGGAAGTAAGCTCGGAAGCAGCCACTGCCAAATTCTCCCGGTTCTGGGTCCAGCACGAGAAGAGGTTTAGGTTTCCACCCAACTTGTTCCCGGATTCCGGGTTCTTGAGTTCTGTGAGATCTCGAAATAGTGAAGACTAATCCTACAGCCAAAATGTTTGAAAGCTTGTGCCGTTCAGCTCCAGAGACTCAGCCCCGGCATGTGGGGGCCAGTACCGTGGCTGTCCTGAGACTCACCGGCCCCCATGTCCTGCCTGACACCAGGCGCCCCCGCCCCCGACTCCACCCCATTTCAGTTCTCGTTGGGCCAAGCAGGACTATCCCAGAGCTTTACCCTCAGCCCCAGAACCCAGAGGCTGGGAGTCATCGGGTCTCCCCTGTTCTGAGACAGACATCAGCCCCCACCCGACTGTTGCTTTATAAGCTGATAACGTGCGTGATTTCTGGGTCAGGACCCCAGAATGTCAGGTAACAGGGAACTCCGCCTAGTTGTGAAGGGTGGGAAATGTCCTTTTCCAGAGGGCAGGTAGCTCAGAAGCCCAGGACCCTGGGCTGGAGGTCTCCTCCCTCTTTATTTCTAGTCCTCTTTAGGCTGCTTTTCTTGCATGAGCCACGTTTTCTGGGGCTTGGAACATTACCGGTCAATGATGAGCCCCCAGGGGCCCGGGATGGAGTGGATGGGCTCCCCAGGTTGCTGTCCAGTGAGCAGAGTCCCAGGTCACTTGACCAAGTCCCACAAACGCCCCTGTCTGTGCAAATGCCAATAAATATGGCGTGAAATTTAAACATAAATGAGTTTTTCACAGCTAATTATGGCTAATGCGAGCTACTTTCAAAATTGCCAAACATTCCTTCCAGAATAGTACAGTATGCAACTATGAATTAGGCGGAAAGAGCCAAATTTCATGAACACAATTTAGCGTACAACAGAATAATAATAATGCTGAGTGGTCTCAGGCCTGCAGGGGAAGGTCCCCCTCAGTCTGCCTTCCCCTGCTCCACCTGTTCTGGAGGCCTCGCTCCTGGTCACCAGGTCAGGTCCTGATGACTAAACATGACAGTAATAGGAAAGGGCAGAGCGTGGTCCCGACCCCACCACCTCCCTCGCC